TAAACAGTCCGAATGATGTAAATTGTGTAAATCGTTACAATAGCTCATCTCAGATATATAGACAAATATTTTATATTATAGCTTCATTCCGCGCGTATGGGCGTATTGCCTAGTTGTTAAATCATTCGCTTTCAGACCACGAGGCCCCGGCATTTAAATATCAGAATGGCCGATGTTATTCCAACTCGAATGGAATATGAAATATTGTCCGTTTTTTTCATATCCCTGAAGTTTCCTTAGGGACTTTCATATAACAATTGATTCTATTCAAGCTTCAGAAGCAATTAAGATCATCATGCCTATCCATCTTTCACAATGAGTAGCTTTACTGGAATAGGGATTTGCTAAGTGTATCTTAGGCAGAATGTATGTAACACCCAGTGAGGATCGAACTCACTACGCAGTCGCAATTGGTCTAGCGAGACAAGTTTGTTAACATTACATAATGTCAAAATGCACCAGCCATAGATAAATAGTGATTTTTAAAAATCATTTAACCCCAAGTAAGGCAAATATACCACTAAGACACAAGCGGTTGCTACGCGTAAGAGAATGAGAATAAAACAGACAAACAAAAAAATACTAGTAAGGAGAGAGAACACTAAAGGTCAAGGATTAAGAAGACAGATGATAACGATTTACAAAGATTAGCTTAGATGTGGCAAGTGACTATGGAGCAATTAATGAAGGTTAAACCCAATACCCGATATTTATTGCTGGAAAATACAGCGATTGTGGCAATAGAACCCAATCAGTTAGTCAGTTATGTGCCAAGGGTGATAAATGACTGGCGAGGCAGATTTTTTTCTGCAGTAGGTTGCCTTTTCTTTCTGCAGTAGACCAGTTGCCATCCAAGGCAATACAATCCGGTCTACACTATTTACATTATTCGGACTATTGCCTTAATATTTGTCGCCATATTTATTACATTTTGGCCGTTGTACGCTCCGGTCTTCTTCAGGTAGTTGGAATGTCGAACTGAACCCTTTATTTCACCCACTGGGGTTGACTGTTCTAGTTCCACTTGCCATGCTTAATGGATGTCAGTTGTCAGTTATCTCCTTTTAATTTCCCTCTCCAAGTTCTCCATTGCCTTAACCGGGTATTGAACTGATACTCTTTTTGTCCTGTCACTGGATCTAACTAACGCCTTTATCCACTGGGCCATGTGTCCTCAAGTCATAGTGTACATAATACCTCATCTCAGAAATATAGACAGATAATGAAGAATCCGGTTTGTCTTGCTACTTACCCATAGCTGGGGTGGGGAGTAGAATAGGATTAATACCTTTCACGTGAATGTAATGGATTTGATTGGAATTCGAAAGCGGCTCTACGATTCCCAAATCCGAACCGCTATCCATTAATCCATTAATACTCTGTCTTAATTAATCTTACAAGAAAAATATGCTAATCATTACAGCATGTCGAAATGGCCCAGGCTTATGGAAAGAAGAAAGAAGGGATTAAATGACTTATCCAAGAATATGTTACATATATTAAAAGCTGAATCATCTTAAATTTCAACTCGATTAGCTCATCTTAGTCTTCGCGGCGTTAGGGTACCTTTGTATTCTTTAAGTGGCCTGAAAACGCGAAAATGAAAAGATCTGGAAACTTGACTAATTGATTTTAAGATTTTAACCCAGAAGAGAGAACTTAGTCTTTAAGAAGAAAGGAAATAAACACTTACCGTATATACTGTCGTATCTTGTGACATTTGAAGACCTAATTTTGAAGCTAAATTTACGGATGTTGCATCATACACGAGATATAAAATTAACAGATATACTGCTGATCCTGACCAAACTATATATCTCTTTAGTGTAGTCAAATCGGCTTGAGAATTATGTCTGCAAAGGTCACTTGATAGGTGAGTATAATGTTTTTTTTTCCTTTTTCAAGTCCTACTATTTAGCTCAAAGCTCGGGAAGGGGATGGATTAATACATTTCGCAAGCGTATTCGTGTGTAAGTAAATGTAACACACACAATGTTATGAATAATCAAGAGTGGTCTCTCCTTGTTTTCTCTTTGAGAGAGCTATTTCTGTTTACTGGGACTCTAAAAGGACACTATACGCGAACCTTGTATTCTCGGTTGAATAAAGCTTTCTTAAAGCCTACACCTTGCGTACTTTTGTCATTACACACAGATGGAATTCAAATTCGGATTGTCAACCCTTTGTGGATTTTTTTTTTAATTTTTTTTAAGCATTACGCCCCGTGCAATGCGTGAAGCCACTAGGATGCAGGGGGTTGCAGAAGATCTGGAGCAAGAGCAGATAGGAGTGATAGAAGAAAGGATGAGGAGAGGGATAGTGGATAGATCAAGGTAACTGGAGATGTCGATTGACATTACATTTGAATAGTTGGAGATTGTAGCTCTCAGGGAAACAGTAATAGGGAAGGGTGTTCCACAGGCGAGAGGTGCAAGGTATGAAGCTATTGGAGTAGAAGAGACAGCTACATTTAAAAGTTTCTACAGTGTAAGGGTGGGAGCGGGATTCCAGCCTCGTAGGACGCTTGAATTCATGGAGTCTGGGAACCAGTGAACGCAGCTCATCGGAGCAATTACCAAGAAAGTATTTGTAGAAAAGACAGAGAGAGGCGACGGCGCGTCTGTGAGAGAGTGACTGTAGATGAGACGCCAGATCAGGGCCAATTGATTTTTTTAAAGCTGAAACATATTTGCTGTTGTAAAATTAAAAAAAAAATTACCGTTTATACTCTCCTATTATGCCATGTTTGAAGACTTAATGCTGAAGCTAAATTTAAAAGGGTCGCATCATACACGAGCTATAAAGTTAGCGCTTGTACTGCTGGTCCTGGCTACGCTGTTGCCCAAACTATATATCCATTTACTGTAGTCAAATTAGCTTCAAAATTAGGTCTTCTAAGGTCGCATGATACGCGACTATATATGGTAATTTAATGTTTGTGAAAGCTCATGTAATGTAGACAAAAGCTACTGAAATTTCATATTTAATAATGGAGTCGCTTAATTCATTATTAATATAAATAAGAGTTAACATATTTCCGCAACTTAAATGTTTAAAAACATATTGAGGCAAAACATTAACTGTTATTTTTAATGGAAAAAAAATAATTAAAAGCTTTCTTTAACAGCAATCTGTTTTCTTGATAATCTTGAAAGCTTTTATATATATTTTTACTTCTTTGATTGCATCTTCACTACCACTATTACAAGAGAATAAGAGAAAAGAGACACGCTATTTTGTGCAGCTTGTGAAAAAGGTAAAATGAATGTTAACCGTACCAGATACAAATTCTTGCCCATTTGTTAATGACGATATTCGTTTCGTTTTTGTTTTTTTTTTTGCTTTACATTGATAGAGAAGTCGTGTTTCTTGGCCGCTTGTCATTATGTTCAAATTATTGGAACGTCAACCTTTCAAAGAAGAGAACAGCTGTAATAAAAAAAAATGTAAGCAGTGTTGATGTGGAGAGACACAATATTAAATAGTAATTATGCTTTAAATTGAATTACTGTTACCTGTGATCAAAGAAATTTCCAATTGTTGCATTAAATTATTTCTTTGTAGTTGCATCGTTTTCCCTGCTTTCGAAAATGTCTCTTCTTTCAAGAAGGCAGATACAATCTGACGAAAAAATTGAAATACTACATTCTGTTTAAATGTCAGTCACATTTCAGAAGTTTAAATCCATGTTGCTTGACATTTTGGGCTAAAAACAAATTTAAATAATTCTCATTACAGCCATATGCATATTTTTTCTTCACAATTGGCAAACATCTTACAAATATTGAAATCTTTATATTGCTTTTTTTTAAAAAACGGAGTTCGTAATATTATATAAAACTGTAATGTTGTTTTCAAAGATTTCCGCATTTGCAACTGCGAGGCAATCTTCAGAGAATTATAAATGCTAACAGGATTTACTATTGGCAGCTATAATTTTACTAATTTAAGATATGCAGATTACACAACGCAGATGGCAGTCATAGAGATAGATCTACTGGAACGCCCACGCAATTTAATAAAAAGGGGAGGGGTGAAGGACTAACCATTAATTGCAAATAGACATATATATATATATATATATATATATATATATATATATATATATATATATATATATATATATCAACAGGAGATAGCCCAAGACAATAAATTGCAAATGTCAAAATCATCCATGTGCAGAAATTTAATTATCTGGAAAGGTAACAAATGGCAGAATATATGGCACTGAAATCCGAAAACGTATTGAACAGCGAAAGATGCCTTTCAAAAGCTAAACAAATTATTAAGAAATTTTCGTTCGGGCCAAATAAGAAATTGCTGAATTGCTATATGATATCAATTCTCGTATAAAGCAATGGATGATGGACAGTTCCCTCACAGTTGAATAGGATACTTTTGAGTTGTGGTTCAATAGAGAAATGTTGAGAATATCATGGATAGAACATGTGAACGACGAGGAAATTTTACGGGAAATGTGGAAAAAAGGAAAATTATACTCAGATGAAGACGGGTGACATATGTAAGTAACATAATGAAGAAAGAAGGAATGGAGAATTTGACATTCACAGGGTATACTGAAGACAAAAAAAAAAAAAAAGAAAACCTAGACATGATTTGTAAATGGAATGCTCTACAAGGACATGGAGATATAGTTAAAAGAAGACATTGCTAAGTAATAGAAAATCAAGTGAACTTAAACGGTACAAAGAAGAAGAAGAAGAAGAAGAAGAAGAATGTAGTAGATGATAAAGTAGATGAATAAGAAGGAGATGAAAGAAGGAAAGTGGAGTGGGTGTAACATATAAATAAAGAAGATGAAGAAGAAGAGGAAGATGAAGATAAAGAAGAAGGTTAAAGATAGAAAGGACATAGGGTGTAACAATTAGAAGAAGAAGATGGAAAGTGGAAACGATGTAACATATAGAAGAAGAAGAAGAAGATGATGAATGATGATTATTATGATGAAGACGAAAAAAGTGAACAAATTAAAAGGAAAATTATGTAACATATAGACGAATAAGAAGAAGGAGAGGATGCAACATATAGTAGAAAATGAAGAAAAAGAAAGTTAAAGATTGAAAGAGGAGAGAGATTAACACGTCGAAGAAGAAGATGAAAACGATAAAGAAAGTAAAATATGGAAAGATGAGAGGCTGTACATAGAGAAGACGACGACGTATATGGCCATGTAGATGAAGATAGTCAAAATGGAAAAGGGAGACGATATAACACATAGAACAAGAAGACGTAGAATAAGAAGATGAACAAGATGTAGAAGAAGAAAATGAAGTCGATGAAAAAGAAAAAGGTGGAAAGATTGAAAGTGGAAAGGGTGTAACACATAAAGGATAATGAAGAATAGGAAAAAGAAAGTGAAAGGTGGAAAGCGGTAAGGGTGTAACACATAGAAGAAGAAGAAGAAGAAGAAGAAGAGGAGGAGGAGGAGGAACATAACATGGAGAAGAAGAAGTTCAAAGACGGAAAGAGTGTGTAACACATAGAAGAAGAAGAAGAAGAAGAAGAAGAAGAAGAAGAAGAACAAGAAGAACAAGAACAAGAACAAGAACAAGAACAAGAAGAAGAAAATGATGATGAAGGAGGTGACGGATGGAGAGCGGTGAGGTTGTAACACACAGAAGATGATGGTAAAAAATTGAAACCGTAAGGGTGTAACATATAAGAGAAGATGATGATGATGATGAATAAAAAAGGTGAAAGATGTATAGTGGTGACGGTTCAACATATAGAAGAAGAAGCGGAAGAAGAAGGCGAATGATTTAAAGTAGAGAGCGTGTAACGTATAGAAGAAGAAGAAGAAGAAGAAGAAGAAGAAGAAGAAGAAGAAGAAGAAGAAAAGAAGAAGAAGAAAAATTAAAAGTGGTGAGTGTGTAACACACAGAAAAAATGTCGTATGTTAATTGAATTTAATGTCAATAACGAAACTCTTTTTCTAAGAGAAACTGATCCATGGTGAATCTAAAATGTACTAGTAACACACTAAGTAAGACGTTTCCCTCAGTGTCACACTAGATCATTCGAGTAGACAAATGAATCAGAAAGTTGAGCTGGAATGTTTGGGCCTAAGAGAGAGCTCCCAACTTGTAAAAAGGTGGTCGACCCAGCTGCGCTTAGGATGTACATGCGTTGTCCAGTCGGAATGTAGGAAAATCTAGAAACTCCTAACCTTAGAGGGAAAAGACAGACTTTGTCGGCTTTTTGGGATAAGTGGATTTAGGTTCCGAGACACCTTTTAAAGTCATTCACCTATTTATTTTTTTATTAAATATCGATGTCCAGTGGTAAACAAACAATACTTTTTTGTATGATTTATTTTGACCCATGTTCTTACACATATATTACACATAACCACAAGAGAAACGAAATTAAGAAGAACATACACCCACAAACATTTCAACAGATATAATTAAACAGAATTGTGTATAAAATTATATATGAGGTCTGTCTGAAATTCACGGGTCTGGTGTCACAAGCAATTGATTTCAATTCCAAACAACAAACTAGATGGTTTTCCACTTCAAAGTAATCCCCCTCTAGTCTAATGCACTTTTCCCGTCCTTTTCAGTCACGCTTCTATGCACTAATGCAAAGATTCTTCCCGGATTCCCCTCACCTACACCGTTACGCCCCATCTTGAAGGCCTCAACGCTTTCAAAACGGGTCCTCTTGATGGGCTACTTGAATTTGAAGAAATGAAAAATGTCTCATGGAGCAAGATCAGATAAATAGCGAGATTTCTCACATACGTTGATGTTCTTCTCGGTCAGGAACTGCCCAATGTTCAGTGCCTTGTGGGTAGGTACATTGCCATGGTGAAACAACCACGATTTGTCCTGCAACAACTCTCGTCTCTTCTCGCGAATCTGAGCGAGGGAAACGATACAGTATTTCTTTGTAGAATTGCGAATGGATCGATGGCGTCACTTTGATGTGGAAACCAAGTATTTTGTTGTTTATAAGTGAAATAAAATCAGGACATCAGTCCCATTACTTTTTAGACAAACTTCGTCGATACGGTTGAGTCGAGGACAATTACTGGAAGAAACCGAATCATCAAAAATGGCGTCTCATAACAATTCTATTAGAAATATCCGACAACCGATCGGAAACAACTTTCAACCCGTTAATCACTTTAGTCAGACACAACAGAGGGAGTCGGAATGTGTATAAAAAATTGATGCGCAGGCGCAGTAACTTTAATCGAAACGACGGAAATTCTGCTATACAAAACAAGAGCAGCATATACCAAAAAGAGACCTAATACTTCTCTACTTATTTGCGGATTCTGTGATTGTTATCATCTCGGAAGAAAAAAGATCGACGAGCTGAGTTCAGATTCCAACAGAGTTCGTGTAATTAAATTTTGCGTAAATACCCTTGGGAAAGATATACATCAATCCTCTTTCACCAATGGGTTTAAATAACAATGTAGAATGGGCAGTATAGACATGTTTGGCAACCAGTCTAGGAGAAGCACAAAACCAAATCCAAATACGTACGTAACATTAACCTAACACGTATTAAGCAGCCATCTAAAAGGTCATAAATTTCACATTATTTCTATAATCTTGACTCAATGCATTATTTTATTATAATTTCCTTTGATTTTTTGGGATAGTAATTTGCTTCCGGGTCCCAGCAAGAGAAATAATTTCATAAATGGCATCATATTATTTTCAATGAATATTATTTAAAAAAAAAATATAAAAGAACATATTTACGCACACATTTTACATATACCAGGTGTCGAAGTCTTGTAACGGCATGGGTTAATGGACCATCCCACAAAATGTTTAATATATAAAGAACCACTAAACTAATTCAGTTATTTTTCCCAGGTTTTCAGAGAAGACAACTAGCCGTCTTAATACAATTTGCCGTAAGAATCACTGAAACAATCTTTGAGATGTTCAGCTAGAAATAGAAGAGCTTAAAATCATTATGTCATCCCAAATGAGACGAAAAATATCGTTCCGGCCTTCAGTAATCTTACCAACATTCATTAATGTCCATTCAAGAACTATCAAGAAAACAGTGAATAAATTTAAAAAAAAAGAGAGGACAGTAGAGAGGAAAACTGGATCAAGAAGCGGGATCATCATTTCAACTTAGCGCTAAATACATTCTTATCGTTGTACGTAGAATCCAGTATTGTTATAAAAACAGGAGAATTCCAGTATGATATCTTGAATCATTTCGAAGATACAACGGTTCAGAGCTTAATCTTGGGCACTTTTGCTGCTACCCGATTGGACAATTTTGCTGTTACACCCGCTGTAAAACTCCCCCGTAAGAGATATGCCTTTCATTTTGTATTTCGGTAACTCTTGGGCTGAGAGGAATCACTTCAGTGAGCCTTTCAGAACCTTTTCAAGTCAAAATGAGGGCCACACCAACAACTGGGAATTCTGATGTCTTTACCTACCACATTTTTTTTCTTCTTTTTCATCATCATCATCATCGTCATCATCATCATCATCATCATCATCAATCATCATCGTCATCATCATCATCATCATCATCAATCATCATCATCATCATCATCATCATTTCTGAGATTTCAATGGGCATATCGTGTTGAAACATCGGTCCTCGTAGGAAAACCGAATTCAAGCAACGTCGAGGCCGCGCAGTGCGTAAGATATTTGACAGTCTATGAATTCCTCGTGCTGTAAGCTTGTATGTACGTGGTGGCTCGGAATTGTTAATCGGAGAGCTGTGTTCGAATTCCCGTTAGGTTCGTAATATTAACTTGCGCTCAAATATACTGGGGAAAGGTATGGGTCCTCATCTTCTACACCCAGCTATGTGTTAATTAGTAAGATTCATATCACTAAACCATTAGTATTTCCCAAAATAATTCTTACAATCTAAAATATTTTTCTGGCTATAAATAAGCAGCAAAAGACCAATCAGTCAATCAATCAATTGATATTCCAACTGATCAAAGAATCAAGCTAACATATAGCATCTGATTATTATATATAAACGAGGGAAGTCTGCCTGATAATGGATGTTGATGATTCAGTATGAAAGAAAAAGAAACAGACATTAAAACCCTATAAAATATCTATACCTTGGTAGAAATCTGAAAAAAAAAGAATTTAATATGAACGAGAAGTTTATTCAGACGATTTGGTCAAACCCAACGAACTTGCGAATGGATTTGAAGAATTTCAAATATCAGAACGAAGTGAAAACACAACGGTTAGAAACAGGACTAAAATCAGTTAAAAGAGTAAGTAAAGCTTTAGAACTATAAAAAGCTTACGAATACTGTAAGGAAACTAAGAGCTCTAAAAAAAAGCATAAGAAAAATAAAGGAAGCTTATGAACTATAAGAAAAGATTTAGAATTATTGGTAAAGACTGGAAAACAAAGGAAAACTTATAAAAATACCATTATATGAATCATAAGAATAAGAACAAATGTCTGAGAACAATAAAGGAAGTCTAAGTTGACTAAGGAAAGCAAACGAGCACTTACGCATACTTAAGAAATCTAACGGAACTTTAAAAACACTGAGGAAAGCATATGAATACAAAAGGAAACTTATGAAATATATGTGGACAGAATATATTGAATCCATTGTGAGGTCTGCTGCTAAGAAAGCAGGTTCAGTGTGTCGTGCTATGAAATTTTTCTTCCCACAATCTGTGTTACATTTCTACAATTCGTCCATGCTTAGAATATTGCAGCCATAGATGTTCATGTGTACTGTGTATATATTCAGAGATTCTTGATAAAATCCAAAGGAGAATCAGCAATATTATTGGTCCTGACCTGGCAGCTCCATTTCTGTCACATTCCCACCGTCATATAGTTGCTTCCCTGTGCCTATTTATAAGTATTCCCATGGTGATTGTTCGAATTAACTCTTCGCTATGATACCTAGACATTATGAATTTAAACGCAACTAGATTGGCAACAAGGTCGCATCATTTTACAGTTGAATTGGCTAGATGTAACCGGAAGTTCTATGTTAACAGTCTCTTTTCTCGCAATTCTTGTTTGTGAAGCACTCTTCCGGTTCCTTGCTTTCAAGCTAATTTTGATATTCAAACATTTAAATGCAATGCCAATCGTTATCTATTGGACTTCTGATCACACTTCTATTATTCTCACCCCTTAATAATATTTTTGTTTTCTAATTCTTTCACACCCAGTAAACCCTAGTGTCTTTGTGGCTTTACTGCCTTGTTTGGGGTGAATTTGAATGAAATAAGTAAATCCAATGAACATGAAAGACAGACTAAGGTTATCCTAAGAACACTAAACGAAGCCTAAGAACATTAAAGAAAGTCTAAGAAACGTCTAATGAACTCTAAACGTAAACGAAGCAAATGAAGCCTAAGAACACTAACATATAAGATAATACTAAGAACAGTAAGGAAAGCATAAGAACTTTAAGTGAAGATCTGTCTTGGAACACTAATGCAAGCTTGAAAAAATAGACTACGAATGAAAAGCATTAAAACAATAATGCAAAATTAAGAACTTTAAGGAACTTTAAGGACGTGAGAGAATTCTATGAATACGAACTGAAGCATAAGAAACCCACGAAAATTACATAAACTAAGGTAAGCCTAAAAAGTCTAACGAAACCTGATGAAATCTAAGAGAAGCCTAAAAACAAAGGTGTAAGTATTATAATGAAAGTCTAAGAAATCTAGGCAACGTCCAATAATTCTATGAGGGAGTCTATGAACAGAAAAGGAAGCCTCAGAACACTATGAGAAGTCTATGAAATCCGAGAAACGCCTAATAATACTAAGAAAGACTATGAATTCTAATGTAAGCCTAAGTATTCTAAGGGGAATCTAAGAAATCTAAGGAAAGCGAATGACTTCTAAGGGAAAGAACTCCAAGGAAAGGTTAAGGCGAAACCAAATAATTCTACGTGTAGCCTAAGAGAAGACTAACAACTTTAAAGGAATTCAAAGAAATGTATAGAAGACCTAAAACTATAATGAATAATTAATGGCACTAAGGAAAGTCAAATAATCTTAATAACTGTAAAGCAATCCTATAAATCTATCCCAGCCGTAAAGGTATCGTAAAAACACTAAGTGTAGCTTTAGAATTCTAAAGAAAGCATAAAAATCTAAAGTAAGGCTGATAAACGTTTAAGAATTTTAAGCAAAGCTCAAGGCATATCTGAAGCCTAAGAGTAGAAAGGGTGGCAGAAATATTTTACAGGCAGTCTAATAAATACCTAAGAATTTTAAGGAAAGTCTAAGAATTCTTAGGATGTCAAATAAATATAAGTGAAGCATAAGAACTGAAAGATAAGGCTAAGAATTCTAAGGGAAGCCAATGTGAGTAAGAGAAGTTTTAAAAACTTTAAGGAAAGGCTAAGATGATAAGCATTAAAGAAAACGTAATAACTCTAATATAAACCTCATAAAAGCCAAATAACTAAAACGCATTCCAGAGAACTCTAAAATAAAACTAAAATATCTAAGACATGCCAAAGAGCTCTAAGGAAAAATGAAGTGCACTTCGAGAAGCCGAAGGAAAGACAAAGTATTCTTAGCAAAGCCAAAGGATTCTAAGGTAAGACTGATTATTCTAAAAAGGCCTAAGAACACAAAGGGAAGACTGAGAATTCTAAGGAAATCCCAAGAAATCTAAGGAAAACATAAGATCTCCAAGGAAAAAATAAGAACACTCGGGGTAGACTAATGATTCTAAGGGAAGACTTAGAACACAAGCAAAATCCTGAGAACTCAAAGGAAAGCGTAAAAACTCAAAAGAAAGCATAAGAACTAACGAACCTCTAAGGAAATCCTACCATCTGCAAAGAAAGCCGAAGAATACGAAGGTGAAACTCATAAATAAGAAAAGAATCCTAAGAGTTATAAGTAAATCTTAAGTGCAGCGAAGAACTCTATGGAAGACTAAGAATTCTAATGAAAGTCTAAGAACACTAAGGGAAGCTTAAAAACTCTAAAGAAAGACGAAGGACTTCTAACGGAGTTTAAGAATTCTAAATAGACTAGGTATTCCATGCTAAACCTTATAACAATAAAAGGAGCCTAAGACCTCTAAGGAAAGACATAAAACACTAACAGAATCCTAAGAACTATATGGAAAGCATATCAACTTTACTAGGAAGTCTAAGAACAGGAAGGAAAACCCTCTATCCTTGAAAATGTGCTCAGTTCAATCATGATAAACTACGAGATACTTAACTCAATAAGAATAAATATGAAATAATACGTAATATTTCCTTACACTGTTTACATTGTTCGGACTTTTGTCCTCATCATCATTATTATATACACAACGTTTCGACCGCTGTACGCTCTAGCCTTCTTCAGGTGATATATGATGGAATGCCAAACCGAACACTTTATTCTATGAAGTATATTGTTCTAGTTTCACTTGCCATGGCTTTTTTGGGGTATTTCGGCTTCAGTTAATATCCTGTAGTAACTCAACGCTCCAAGTTTGTTTTTTTATTATTCACCTCTGCTGAGACCAAGGATTGAACTCACAACTCTATAGGTTAAGTCAATGCATTACTTCAGCCAACACTTTTATCGTTGGAGTAATATTTTTTATTCCTGAAAGTTCCTTATAGATTTAATGATATCAGCTGATGCTATTTTAGCTTTAGTTGCAATTAATAATTTATGTGATTCGGGTTGCCAGTCTATTGTACAAAAGAAAGAACGTTACAAGCATGAGAGAGACGTGTCGAATTGAGAAGCACTTAAATGCCATCCCTATGCGCATATTACAAAGTGTACGTAAACTGACTACTTTTGAATGTGATAACAGTTCGGCTATTTCAATTGATGCGTCGTTAAATAATCTTCGTTTTTCCCAATTTTGTAGCGAACCGTGAGTTTTTTTCGTATTGTGATATGAACACGTCTGTTATACTGGAATAAAGTCCACTACAAATATGGTGGACTCAAGATGAGTCCTTTCAAAATAAATGTAAAAGAAAACAACCAAGAACTGATATATATATATATATATATATATATATATATATATATATATATATATATATATATATATATATATACACAAACAAGTATATGTGTTAAAAAACAAAAAAAAATAAAAACGAAAGACAAGGATATTAACGTGTGTGTGTGTGTGTGCATGAATGTAAAGAGTTCATGTTTCGAAGTATATTCGTACGTACGTGTCTGTTTGTGTTCATAATGTTCATGGCGTCTTCCCAAAGAAAAGTATGGGGTTACCCTACGAAGGGGAAAAAGAAATCTTCAGCGTGAGCATACAATGTCGTACGTAGTGTCCGCTGAAAATGCAAAGGGAAAAACAGAGAGAGAACGAAGTATTCTCACTTATTTATAGTTTAGGAATAGCGTCTCCTGGGAACAATTAGGAAATTAAGGAGGGGTTAACTCCGGCACATTTATGAATAGCTATCCTGTAAAAACGTGAAAAAACAAAAACAAAAAAACAAAACAAAACAACAGCTTGTCTCTTTGCTGAGAACTTAGGTAATATATATATATATATATATATATATATTCGTTGACTAAAACAAATTAGGATTTAGAATTTTATCTATCGCGCGGAAAGTTAAATGAGAAGGCACTGAGAGTTGAGCATAGTTAGAATACCGAAAGGAAAGAGGAAGAGAAAGAATCTACCACCACTTATGTGGAGTGTTGGTGCGAGATGGGAAGTAAAGAAGGTTGGTGTTAGGGGAGGAGCCATCCCTGTAACAACTCACAAGAAGGTGGATAATTCTCCAAATTTGTAATGATGATTAAGAAAGCGGAAAATTGTCACAAAGACAGTTATACCAGCCCTGAGAGTGGGATGTGTTAGAATAACGATAAGGAAGAAGGAAGTGGTAGAATCGAGCAACTCCTGTGTGGAGTGGTGAAGTAAACACTGAAAAGTGAAGCAGGTTGGAGATTTGATCAATTCATCCTCATAGTTAAAGCCGGAAGAACAAACTTATTCGTCAGGAACAAAGAAAAGAAAAAAAATGTTAGCAGAATCAGACTGAAGACGAAGATTTACATATATAAGGACCTCGCTTGAGAGAAGAAATAAAACTGCGAGGCTTCAGAATTAAGGAATTGTTTTATATCGCGTCAAAGAGATATGAATATTTGGAAAACAGAGAGAGGAAATTAAACCCTGTCGCGATTTGTAAAGATCTCTTGATAATTTTGATTATAAAAATGCTTGTTGTGACTTGTTCCTGAATATCAAACACCTGATACACTTCGCCTAAGTAATTAAATTCTTGTAAATTCTTCCCCTGTTGTATTTTAGTTTGTTGCCCAATTACAATTATCGAGCAACCATTATTTTCTCTCTGCTATTGAATTGTACAAGTTTAATAGATAATATTTTTTGAAAAAAAAAGATTAACGACAATCTCCAAATACGCGAAGATTTTCTTCCAGAAATTTTCATTGGCGTGAGAATATCATTGAAAAGAATTCAAAGGCTTTATTGAATCGATATGAAAGCAGTAAAGCATTGGTAATATTAACAAAGGAAGGAAGGCAGGAAGGAAAAAAGGAAGGAAGGAAGGAAGGAAGGAAGGAAGGAAGGAAGGAAGGAAGGAAGGGACAAGAAAATTTAAATGGAATGAAAGTAATAGAAAATGAGTAAATCGAATGAAATGCAGTTATGTGGAAGAGAAGGAAGGAGAGAAAATTGAATGGAGAGAAGGCGATGGACGAAAAGCAACGAAGCGGAAAAGAAACGAAGGGGAAAATAAATACTGTGATATAGAAAGAAAGAAAAAGAAAGAAAGAGACAAGAAATTGGAAAGAACATCGAAGTGACTGAAATGAATGGATGAAGGAAAGGATGAATGAAACGGGGATATTTAAATAGAATGATAGTAAAAGAAAGTGTGCAAATTGACTGAAAATCAGTTATGTGTAATGAAAGGAAGAAATTAGAATCGAGCGGCGATACGGCTATGAAGGAAAAGAAACAATAGAAAGAAAGATTAGAAAAAAAGACACAATGGGAAAGGAAAACGATGTGAATGAAAACAAATTGAATGATTGAATGAATGAATGAATGAAAAAATAAAGAAAGACAGGAAGCATATGGCTTATCCTGAATAAAACAGAGAAGCATGAAATAGATGAGAGACGTAAGAAAAGGAGATATTGGTGACAGAAGTAAGAGAGAGAGAGAGAAGTAGACGGAGAATTAAAGATGATGATGATGACGACGACGACGAAAGAAGGAGTGAGAGAAAAGGAGAAAGAGAAAGAGGGCACAGAGAGTATAAGTAGAAGAAAGAGAGGAGAGTTGGTGTCGAAGAGGACGGTATAGAAAAATGGCGAAAGAAAATCAATGAAGAATAAATGTCGCAAATCGGTAAGGAAGAATCAAAGGAGAAATGAGAACGTAAAGAAACAAAAGAAGCGAATTTAAAGAAAATGGGAAAGATCCTGAGAGAAGAGGAGGTGGAAAGAAAAACGATTTCAAGAAGAAAGAACTAAGTGAAGAAAGAATGACGAAAAGCATTAAACATTGAAACAAAAATGGAAGAAGGGGAAGGCAAATCATTTCACCTCAAGCAAGAAGTTAAAGCCACTGAGACTAGACTAGTTAATGAGTGTTAAAGAATATGAGGAGAAAAAAACACCATTAAGTATATATATATATTTTATTAAAGACATTTTTTATTTATGTTTAACGTTGTTATTTTTATAGATACAAGTATTTAAGCAAATGCTCTGTTTATGATAAACAGTATTAAATAACATTTACCGGCCTGAATGTCCGAAAATTTTCATAGAAAATATTCGTTCATAGACAGGATTCGAACCTGCATCCTATAATACGCTGGCGTGCCTTGACCACTCGAATGTCATGAAATGGTCAAAAAATAAACTACAATCTTCCAAATCTCGCAGGTTCATAACTGCTCTGGCGATCGAATGTAAACAAATGACGTCATATGTTAAAAGCCGGGACGAGGTCAAATTTATTTTATTAAAGGATATTTTTTATTTATGTTTAACGTTGTTAAAAGATACAACTTTTAAGACAAATGCTCTGTTTATGATAAACAATTATTAAATAAATTGTCGGCCTGAATGTCGAAAATTTTCAAACATATTCGATCATTTGTTGATTCGATTTTCCCATGCTTTAAGGTTATGGTGGACAAGGTCATGGAAGATTGTAGTTTATAACAAGAAAAGGCCAAATTTTGTACAAATAACTGTTCTGGTGGCCGAGAATGTCAAGGCAAAAATATGGCGGTTCCGAGGATGCAGGTTCGACAATTTATTTATGAAAAATATTTTTTATTTATGTTTAAAATTGTTATTTTATAGAAGATTTTAATGTTAATTAAACTGTTTATGATAAACAGTATTTGCTTAAACATTACCTTTAAAACGTTAAATTTTCATAAAAAATGTTCGAAATAAATTGTCGGACCTGCATCCATTTCTTAACATATACGCATTTGTTTAATTTCGATACGATGAATGCTGATTCGATTCATGGAAAATTGTAGGATCACCATAAGGTTTTTGTGGTCGAGGTGGCGTCAAAGTGGCAAAGGTATATGGCGGTTCCGTATAGAAGGTTTTGTCTATGAACATTTTTCTATGAAAATTTATCGGACATTCAGGCCGGTAAATGTTATTTAATACTGTTTATCATAAACAGAGCATTTGCTTAAATACTTGTATCTATAAAATAACAACGTTAAAACATAAATAAAAATGTGGTTTAAAAAATAAATTGTCGGACCTAACATATGTCATTTGTTTACATTTTAAAAGCAGTTATGAATAAGATTCATGGAAGATTGTGGTTTATAACAGTAAATTGACCTTGTCACGGCGGTGGCCGAGTGGTCAAAATAGGATAAGGTTCGAAAAGCGAACCTATAAAATTGAAATTAATATTTATATATAAATAATATAATGATATATTGTATATATATTTGTATATATATAAAATGTACGAGGGATTGCGGTTTTTAAAAAAAGAAATGTTTTTCTGAATATTTAAACGAATATTATGAAAATTTTCGGACATTCAGGCTGTTATTTAATACTGTTAAACAGAGCATTTAAATACTTGATTGAATAAGACGTTAAACATAAAAAAAAAATCTTTATAAAATAAATTGCAATATGACGTCATTTGTGTACTGGAAGATTGTTTATAACAGTAAAGACCTTGTGTGTAAAATGAGTGGTCAAGGCACGCCAGCGTATATGGCGGTTCCGTATAGAATGCAAATCATATTTCTATGAAAATGACATTCAGATAAATGTTATTTAACTGTTTATCAAATATTTTTAATGCTTAAATACTTGTATCTATAAAAATAACAACGTTAAACATAAATAAAAAATGTCTTTTAATAAAATAAATTGTCGAACCTCGTCCATTTTAACATATGACGTCATTTGTTTACATTCGATACGCCAGAGCAGTTATGAAAAGATTCATGGAAGATTGTAAGTTATAACAGTAAATTGACCTTGTCTACCATAAGGTTCATGGTGGCCGATGGTCAAGGCACGCCAGCGTATATGGCGGTTCCGTATAGGATGCAGGTTCGAATCCTGTCTATGAACGAATATTTTCTATGAAAATTTCTCGGACATTCAGGCCGGTAAATGTTATTTAATACTGTTTATCATAAACAGAGCATTTGCTTAAATACTTGTATCTATAAAAATAACAACGTTAAACATAAATAAAAAATGTCTTTAATAAAATAAATTGTCGGACCTCGTCCATTTCTTAACATATATATATATATATATATATATATATATATAAATTGTAAAAATTAAATTAAAACTCAGCGTTGCGACTGCACGCTCCAAAAACATTCATTTCTAATAGCATTTTTCGGATTACAACAATACATATATTTTCGTTGTCCTCTTATTACTGAGAGTAAAAACAAGAACAAAATCTATTCCATACCTGAGGATGTCTGTATGAACAGACGAAAGCTTGTAAAAATAATAAGAACTTATGCAACAGAAATTTATAAAAACAAGGATCTTTTCATTCATAAACAGGTTCAGGGTTTTTGTAAATTATTTTTGAATTGTTAGCGACGATGGATTTCTCGCCAATTAAATCATTAACCTTTGTATTTGTTTTTTGTATGAATAATTCATGAATTTGTAAATTAATTGCACCTTATTGAAATTGAAATATATATATATATATATATATATATATATATATATATATATATATATATATATATATATATATATATAAAGAGGGATCGAAAAGACAGAATGTCATTTAAACTTTCGAAGATCAATGCTGGCTGGGAAGCAAGAAGCCATTAGAGAATTCCACAAGTGACATGTGAGATAGAAGAAAATATTTGCATAGAACTTACGGTTATATCTAATTATTTTAACTCAAAAATGATGAGACACATTTGCCAATCTTGTTCTACGCTTAAATTCATGAAGTCTAGGTACCATAGAGGAAAGCTCATTAGAACAATTACCATGAAAGTATCTACAAAAAATAAATAAATAATAATAATAAAATAAAATAAAATGCCACATGAAATCTACGTTATAGCCTGGGAAAGGGATTGGAGATGTGATGCCAGGTGAGAAACAATAACATAGCAGATTCTTCTTTGGATTTTTTCAGGAATCTCTAAATATATATCAGGAGCAGCAGAACAGAAATGGAAGAAAAATTCTTTAACCTCTTTTCTACAGCAGGAATGTTACTAGTGTCGCGTTGCTCTACCATTCTAATAATGATAGGTATTTGGACGAACTAGATTACTAGGTTCTACCAGTTAAGATCTTCAGAGCTCTGGCCTACCATGTGATGTACACTGAGTCAACTCATCCTTATTCCTTTCATATTCTATTGTTAAGGACGAAGTTCCACTCGGACTGTTTCTCTGTATTTGAGCTGGCTAGATTTAGGCGTAACTTCTATGCTAACTGTTTCTTCTCTCTCTATTCTCGCTTGTGGAATGCCATTCTGTTTCTATGCTTTCCATACAAATTTAATCTGCAAAAATTTAAATACAATGCCAATCGCTATCTACTACCTTCCTAATTATTTTTTTTTCTCTTCTTCTCCACACTCTGTAACACGTTCGGCTTAGTGGCCATATTGCCTAGCTTGGGTTTAAACCTATTAAAAAAAAAGAAAAAAAAGAAAACTTAAGGAATCAGCACATATGCTAGGCCACAAATATCTCCTAAGCCGGTCAAGCACAGACATGAATAAAATATAGGAACTAGTGATATGGAACACTAGCGAAAGCAATAAAAATAAAATTGCAATATGAGCTCTGGTTAAAAAAAAGAGGATTAATGAGACATTTAGTCTGTAAATCCCCAAAATTCATACACTGATGTTCCCAAAGAGACATGATCCAGTGGACAAAAGCGTTGGTTGGATCCAATGACTTGACCGAAAGAGTTGTGAGTTCAATACTGCAGAGATGACTGAGACACCCAGAAAAGGCATGGCACGTGGAACTAGAACAATCTACTCCGGTGGACGAAATACACGATTCAGTTCAAAATTCTGATCAACTGAAGAAGACCGGAGCATACAACGACTGAAACGTCGTGAATATGGCAATAAAGATGCCGCCAACAGTCCAAGTAATGTAAGTAATTACAATATCTCATCTCAGAAATATATACAAGACAAGAAAAAATGTTGCAATTTGGAACAGACTTGCGAGTATTACAATTGTTGCAATTTTGAACAGAGTCCCGAGCTTTACAATCGCAAAATATTCAGCCGAGTGTCAACCATTATCTATCCTTCATTCTTCATGACCTTATAATAGGCAACCCTTGCTCCATCTCTCTACGCCCGTACAACATCCACATTTAGTAACTCTCTATAATGGAACTTATGCCTTGTATTGGGTGACAAATAATCAGCAAAAATCATTCTGTTAACCCTAGAATACTAACCATGGGTATATAGTCCCCAGCGCAAATTTTCCTATTTTTAATTACAATTTTCAGTACCTGATTTTCTTACCTAAATACTATGTTATTCAGTTCCTATTGATGTTAACTTAAAGTACAAAGTTTGAAGTGTCTGTAGTTAAATATTTCAAATAAAGATTTATATTTAATATTTTCTTTTTGATATTTTCAAAATCGGGTATGATATACCCATGGTTCGTAGTAGTGTAACTTTAATTGATGGTTAGTGTTCTAGGGTTAAAAGAGAAAAGAAAGAGGGAAAATGAAAGAAATTTGAAACTCGAATTGTATTGAGGAGTAGAAATAAGAAAGATATTAAGAAAAACCGAAATAAAGACATAGAAGCACAACAAATGAAGACATGTGAAATGGAACAGAATAGAGAGAAGGGAATAAAAAGATGGTGAAAGACAAACGAGAGAAGAAAGGATACAAAAAAATGAAGAAATAAAGATTAAAAGTTCAGAAGGGTGGAAACCTTGGATGAAATGAGGAGAGGCAAAAAGATATATGGAAGGAAACAAGGAAAGATATATAGAAGAAAAAGAGAAGATGTAAATAAGGAGAAAGAAGAGATGTAAGAAAAGGAAGATGAAAAAGAACATTCAAAGCGAAAGGGAGAAACAAAAGAGAAAATCGAAGGAAGAAGATTCAGTCAGTTATGTGCCATGCGTCATACACACTTAGGTGACGAGGCAGTTGTTTTTTTTCCCGCAGTAGGTTGCCATTTATTTCTGCGGTGGACAAAACGGCCGTCTAGTGCTTTCTGCATTCTGTTGAGGTTTCTTCTAGACTCGATGAATTACTTAATTATAATTATCTCAAATCTTCCTTAATTTCTATCATTTGTATATCCTTGCTTGAACCGGCTTCTAATGCTCTGGCTTGGCGATAATAGCCGTGGCTCTCGGGGGCACAGTCCTATGGTTAAGGGAAACTCGGATGAGTTCCACCACGGAATATGTGAACGAGCGGCGCAATATCCAGTCTAATTCCTTACCTAAGTATTTTAGATTGTAAGAAATTTGCGTTATATTAATGGTTTATTGATACAAGTCTTACTAATTAACGCATTGCTCGGGGAAGAAGAGGTGGATTCTTACCTTTGCCAAAGGTATTTACGCCTAAGTGAATATAACGAACGCAAAGGGAATCGCAACTCGACTCTCCGATTAACAATCCGAGCCATTATTCATTACCCCACCCTCACATCCAAGCTTGTAGCACCTGGTATTCCCAAGCGGTCGACCATCTAGGTATAGACTAGGCTCGACGTTGCTTACAGCGATCGTAGGGGAATTTGTGTTTTAAGACGATGCAGCTGTATTCCTTGCAGGAAATAAGGAGGGAACTCGAGAGCAGCGAAGGACGGAATGAAATAAAAAGAGTTATGATGAAAAATCAAGTCCTAGTAAACGAGAGAAGAAAAGGATAAAGATCGGCATTGAGGAAAAAAATGAATGATTGTTGGAAGGAAGGAAGGGAGGAAGGAAGAAAGGAAGGAAAGGAAGGAAGGAAAGGAATGAAGGAAGGAAGGAAGAAATGAATGAATGAAGGAAGGAAGGAATGAATGAATGAAGTAAGGAAGGAATGAATGAAGGAAGGAAAGGAAGGAATGAACGGAAAGAAGGAAGGAAAGAATGAAGGAAAAGAAGGAAGTAAGGAAGGAATTAATGAAGGAAGGAAGGGGAGGAAAGGGAAGGAATGAATGAATGAAGGAAAAGAAAAAATGGAAGGAAGGAAGGAAAGGAAAGAAAAGAATGAAGGAAGGAATGAAGGAATGAATGAAGGATCCTTCCTTCATTCATTCTTCATTACTTTCCTTCCCTTTCTTTCAAGGATTCCTTCCTTTTTCCTTCCTTCCTTCATTCATTCCTTCCTTTGATGAAGGATGGAATGAAGGAACGAAGGAACGAAGGAAGTAATGAATGAAGGAAGGATGGAAAGGAAGGAATGAATGAATGAAGGAAGGAAAGAAGGAAGGAAGGAAGGAAGGAAAGGAGGGAAGGAATGAATGAAGGAAAGAAGAAATGAAGGAATGAATGAATAAAGTAAAGAAGGAATGAATGAAGGAAGGAAAGGAAGGAATGAACGGAAAGAATGAAAGAAATAATGAAGGAAAGGAAGGAAGTAAGGAAGGAATTAATGAAGGAAGGAAGGAAAGGAAGGAATGAATGAATGAAGGAAGGAAAGGATGGAAGGAAGGAATGATGGAAGGAAAGGAAAGAAGGAAGGAAGTAATGAAGGAATGAATGAAGGAAGGATAGGATGGAAGGAAGGAACGAAGGAACGAAGGAAGTAATGAATGAAGGAAGGATGGAAAGGAAGGAAGAAATGAATGAAGGAAGGAAGGAAGGAACGGAGGAAAAGAAGGAATGAATGAATGAAGGAAGGAAAGAAGGAAGGAAGGAAGGAAGGAAAGGAGGGAAGGAATGAATGAATGAAGGAAGGAAAGGATGGAAGGAAGGAATGATGGAAGGAAAGGAAAGAAGGAAGGAAGTAATGAAGGAATGAATGAAGGAAGGATAGGATGGAAGGAAGGAACGAAGGAAGTAACGAATGAAGGAAGGATGGAAAGGAAGGAAGAAATGAATGAAGGAAGGAAGGAAGGAACGAAGGAAAAAAAGGAATGAATGAATGAAGGAAGGAAAGAAGGAAGGAAGGAAGCAAAGGAGGGAAGGAATGAATGAAGGAAAGAAGAAATGAAGGAAGGAAGGAATGAATGAATGAATGAAGGAAGGAAAGGAAGGAATGAAGGAAGGAATGAAGGAAGGAATGAAAGAAGGAAAGGAAGGAAAGGAAGGAAGGAATGAAGGAAGGAAGGATATAATAAGGATAAAATCGAAAAGAGAAAAAAGAATTAACAAAACAAAAAAGAAGGAATAATGGAAGAAGGCTATAACGAAGGAATTAAATGAATCAAATGGAGGGTGAAAGAAAAACTGACATCGAGCAAGAGACAGAAGAAATAAACAGACAGAAGAAAATTAAAAAAAAAGGAAAAACGGAATGAAAAAGAGAATGGAATAAATTCAATCAAAGAACAAGGAAATCTAGAACGAAAGAAATGAAGAAAGTGAAACAAAATCGGGAAAAAAAAGGCTTTAAAATATGGAAGGAATGATAAAGATCGGAAAAAGAAATGAGGAAGAAATTAAGCTAGAAAATATTGAATGGCGGAAAGTAAAAATTGAAAAGCAACACAAGGAAAATGGAAAACAGAAATAAAATAAAGGGTGACAAAAAATACAAAAGTAAAACAAAGTTGATGAAAAATGAAGAAAGAAAGTAGACGATAGAATAAAGAAAAACATTATAGTCGAGAAGGAAAAAAAAAAGAAAAGAAAAATAAAGAGAAAACGTCAATAGATTGAAAAAAAAGGAAAGAACAAAAAGGAATGAAAAACAGAAATTTAAAAGTGGGTTAAAGAAGTGGGGGAGAATGATAATAAGAGAAAAGAATGGATGATAGAGAAAATGGAGAAAAAAGGATGAGAAAGAAAAATATATGAAAAGAAATTTTAAAAAAAACTAAAAAAAAAAAAACAAATCGAAACAATGAAGAAATAAATGAAAGAAGAAAAAAGTGTGGAATAAAGTAAAAACCGAAGAACAAAGAGAAAATGAATGAAATACAGAAATGAAAGAAAGAAAAGAAGGAAGGAGAAATGAATGAAAGCAGACAAAATAGAGAAAGAAAATGTCGAAGAAAGAAAAAGCTATGAGATGAATAAAATAAAAGATTGTTTTGTCAGAAATATTAAAGAATAAACTGAAATTTTACGTGCAAATACTAAAAAAGAAATATAATTTAACTAATGAAAAGGGGATAAAATTGTCAATAATTTCGTTCAACAAGGATTTTAAATTTCCAAATGAAGAAATAAGATAAAAACATTCTTCCAAATAAGCAATTCGACATTGAATGCTTCTCGATGAAGTCATTTCATAAAGAGGGAGAAAACACATTTCTGTGTAAGAGAAAGCATTTTCTGTAACAATTCTTTCACGTCGATTTTAGCAGCTTCTTTGGTGTTTTCCTTAAGATCTCAGTGGGGGTTGCTCTTCAAATTCTATGCCTATTCCCATTCTTTTCACTCCTGAATTCAATTTCTCCAAAATGTTAGAATCAAATACTGTATTATTATTATTATTATTATTATTATTATTATTATTATTATTAGTGCTGTTTATTTATTTTATGATTTGCTTTCTTTAATATGAATTCGTGTCAGTATTGATTCAGAGCTTTCAAGAAACAACCTATCTTTGCATCACGGCAATGACAAAATAGAAGTAGAGATGCCAGGTCAAATCTGAAAACATTGCGAATTCTTCCAAGAAATTTTGTCCCGGTATATATAGTAGGAGTACCATACCAGATTTGTCAGAAGTATGCAATGTACGGACGAATGGCACATACATTGACGTGCAACATTGTTCTTGATTGTATCATGAAAATACATTGTGCTATTCCCAGCATGAAAGGAAGCGAAAAGAAAGAAAAGAAATTGTGCTTTACCCTGGATATCAAAAGATAGAAAATCTCTTATCTATTCAAGAAGTCTCTTTAGTATTCTAGAGTATTTTAGCAACACAATGTCTCACATCCATTGTTTCCATTAACATTTTTCTAGGCTATTTGTGAGATTCTACATGGCCCGTTTAATTATAGATACGACTGTCATCTTCATATTCGAAAACTTATTTAGCTTCGTGACAAAATTTATACACACACACACACACACACACACACACACACACACACACATATATATATATATATGTACTTATTGGAAAGTTCTCAACATAAGTGATAGAGCTAATATATTCAATTGTATGGATATGAGATTGCGACACTGGGTTTCACCCTTTTGCGATTACCAGATCATCAAGAAATCGTGAAACTCAGGGTCACAAACTCATATCCATGCAACTGAATATATATATATATATATATATATATATATATATATATATATATATGTGTGTATGTGTGTTTGTGTGTCAACTTTTAACTTTATTAATATTCACTCTGTTGTAGAGTAGTTTTCACAGTGGAGGCTTGTATTTCAATAAGTCGGTCCTAAAAGGGTCCGACGTACAAAACGTTAGGAACTTGAAATAATAGTTAATGACGCAGCAATCTAGTTGTGATGGTTGATACTTCAATGTCCGACATCGACTGACTCACTCAACTCCACTGAGCCCAACTGGCGACCGCTACTACTACTACTACTTATTATGTGTGGAGAGTCAATTATAATAGAATAGGTAATGTTCTAGTATAACACACTCACAAAAAATATTCTAAAAATAATGTCAAAATCGTTTTTAATCAATTGGTCCCCATTATGCATGAGGAAAGATTTGCGTTCAGAATTGTTTTTTCTTCTTCTGTTAGGTCTGACTATATAGTAGCAAACTTTAGAGCAGTCATGAATAGATCTCTTGATATTGACTGGTAGTAATCCTCACTATTACACTGTATCAATATCAGACTGAAGTCAATTTTGACATCACAATCATTAAAGTCTGCGTAGTTTTCCAACCTTGTCGCTTTATTTATTTTATACAACCTAACTACGCACCGTAAATTAAACAG